CAGTGTTTGGGGAAGGAGTTCCAGTGACGATGCTATAATGAGAAGGAGGACTCGGACTATTGATATTGATTCTAACAGAATGAGGAACATCGTCTAGAGGATCGTACGTACTTTCCATGGGCCTGTCGAGCCCCCAGGCTCACCAAACCCCAATTCAAAACCCCCAAATCACACATCAATCAACTTTCACGTTCCGACTTGAGCCATCGGTGATGGCGTGTCATCCTTAGCAGGGGCCATGCATCCTGCACATTGCACGGTACACCTGCAGTTGCAAGACGCATGCCCTAGCTACTGTAGTGAACAGTCGGCCTTGCTTTGAGTCTGCACTGGGGCCACTTCGCTTTGGACAAGGGACAGAACAAGCAATCCTCAGCAATGCCTAGCAAGCATGGAAAGAAGGGTGCGCACACCATCGACGGACGAGGGGCAATCGCTGACGATCCATTCGGTGGTTGCTCGGGGTTGCCTTGCGGGAAGTTCTGGCGGTTTACTTTCGGGTAGCCGTGGTGTCGCATCAGAATTCCGTGTTCATCCTTCTTGCAGGAGCACGCGTCATTTCCAGATGTTTGACCAACTCCTTTAGCTTTGCATCCGTCCCCACTCTCGAAAACTCTTGGTCCACACGGAATGTGATGTCCCAGCTGGGCCCATTCGGAAACCCCTCCACGTCATCCTCGTCACTGTCGACCACACTGCACTCCCCAGCTAGCTCTGTGGGCCAGGTCCAATGCGGCCACGCGCCGAAGACCTGGCTCACGTTGTTGTTGGAGGCTTGTCTGCGTCAATGGTCATGATAATATCATTCCAATATATAGGGCTTTCCCAAAATTAGAGGTACCGGTACCTTATTTGGTGGTCCTTGTAATAAGAATCCTACTATTTAGGGTACTGTATTCGGGCCCCCTATTTTCGGAAACTCCCATATACCAGAAGCTGCCAGCCTTCTCCAGCGCAGCAGTCATCTTCGGAACATCAACCGCACGACGATAAAATTCCGCGCGCCTTCGATCTTCTGCAACTCTGCGAAGCAAGTACGGGATCTCTTCGATAGCCTCCTGCAAGAACTTCACACGAGAGGGGTGTTTGGAAGTTTTGTGCTATCGCCGCCCGGGTTGGATGTCGCATGATGTCGCCTTGTTCCTCTCGCTAAGAAGTCCCCCCCTCCCTGAGGCGGACTGCGGCGGCGCAAGCCAGTATAGCGGTTACACGTAGTCTGCACTCTGCACTGGGGCCGGGAACTCCTCAACCCCTGCAGTCGTAAGAAAGTGCGCGAAAAAAATTGCACCGGCAGTGCAGCATGCTCGGCAATTTTCCCAGCAAGGTTTGTGTGGCTCGTGTAGAAGACATCTCCTAGCGATTCATTTCGCCCATCCGTGTCGGACTGCAGTTGAAGATGAGGGCAGCTAGAAAACCACATGCGGATGATGCAGTTCTAGTCTTTTCTTGCGCTTTTTGCTGCGCTCAGTAATCATTTGCTGGCGGCATGATTTCCTGCTCGTTTCGGTATGGCACTCGACGATTTTCCCGGAAGTGCCTATTGTCGACGATCGCATTCCGGTTCTTTTGTTGGGAGACACCCGCGGTTTGCAGCCAAGTGCTGATCGAGTCGCACTTGCAACAGTCACTTGCCCGCCAAACCGGTTTACTCCAGGCTCTCCCGGCCATACACGACACTCAGATCAGCTGGCTGCTCCTCTCATGCTGTGCAGCGCCACGAGCGCAATATGCGCTCCGTTCTCTCCCGCCTGAAGCCACAAGGGCCTACGCTGCCGCGCACGATGATGCAGCACTTGCCTGCCTCGACACACTGTTGTGCTCTGAGACCCCAGGGGGGCTGCCTTTGGCTTGCCGTTGCTCGGGCCCAGCTTGCCTTGCGCCATGGAGGACCTCTGGTGCAGACGAACCCCCCTCAAGAGTGTCGACGAGGGCACGTGCAAAGGCAGGGTCCCGACAGGCTATGACAGGCAGCACATCGGCCCAGGAAGCCCAGTAAGCGGCCGGTGCATGGCGTGCCGCACTGCGAAGGCCTAATCCGCCAGTCGCTCCTCCTCGCTCGTGCTTCTTTGACTGCGTCCGGTTTTGCCCTTCCGTCCTGGCCCCAGCTGTTGACTACGTCGGCTCCGCGCTATGTAGATGACGAACCCCAACTCGACACCACGCGTGGCTGGCAGCGTCCTGCATCCAAGGCTGTCGACGAGTTCGGTTTCCGCTCCATCCTTCGGGAGCTCGATCCACCGGCCGCCGCCCTGCTGGACTCGCAGGCAGGCCCCTTCGCAGCGCGGATCTTCACGGCCAGGCCTACCGCTCCTTCACACTTCCGGGTGTTGCTCTTACAACGCCTCAGCTCCCTCTGCCACTCACGGCCGCATACTGCCGCTGCGGACGTACATCGCCAGGACCCTTTGGGGGATCACCTCGCCGCATGCCGTCGCTCCGGTGTTTTGCGCGCGAGAGGTGCTCCACTCTAGCGTGCTGCAGCACGTGTTTGCCATGAAAGGCGCATCGAAGTCGTCGCCAACGGCCTCCCTCTCTGGCACGGCTCCCAGCTTGCACTCGACGCCACCATCGTCTCCCCGCTTACAAAGCGAGGCGAAGCCCATCCGCGAGCCGATGTGCAGCCGGGCTATGCAGTCGAGGTTGCCGCCAGGCGTAAACGCCGGGACACCTACCCCGAGCTCGCCCGGGCGAGCCGGTGCCGACTCGTTGTAGTTGGTGTCGAGGTTGGAGGCAGGTTCGGGGCAGAGGCTGCCCAGTTGCTCCGACTCCTGGCGCGCCAGCGAGCCGAAGCCGTGCCTGCCCACCTCCGCCCGACCGCCATTATGCGAGCGTTTACGAAGCGTACTCATGTATAAACGCTGTAGCTTGAGTATGCTTGAGTGTTGTACATGTACCACGAACCACGTCATGAAAAGCATGACCACATGCATGTGACCGGTGTAGCCTTTCAGGTCCTAGCCAACGGAAAAAGTGAGTAGTGAGCCCAATACGTCCCAGCGCTTGCCCCGCGCGCACATTAACGCCTGGGTAGCGAGCTGGTCCGGTCCGGCCTCCTTGCAGTCGCCGCGCAGCGAGCGTACGCTGCGTCGCTGCTTGAACTCCCTCCTGCTGCCGAGCTCAGCGAGGGCACTGAGCCTGACCTGCATGAGGTCCTCGCTGACGCCAGGTGGCTCCCTGCCCCCACGCTAGCTGCAGTGTGGTGCCGTGAGTGCAGCCTCTTCAGTGGTAGGCAAAGGTAGGCCATCTAACTCTAGCTGGACCGGACACGTTCACGTTCTGCTGTCGCACAAAAGTGCGAAGAAGAAAAAAAGTTGGTGCTAGTGTTGCCACGAACGTCTTGGCGTTTTTTCCCAACTCATTTTTGCATCTAAGGCCCGTGTTTCCTTCTTGCGCAGAGACCGCGGAACTCCAATCCCCCATTGAAAGAGGTACACTAACGCCATTTTCTCGAAACAGCATTCGTACTTGTGTGCGTTGGGTCGAATTCGTCGCGCTTCGGAAGTTGAACGCGTGTGTCGGTGCGTTGTGGCCGGTCGCATCGCAGAAGCAGCATACGGAGCTGTTATTTGGCGTGGGTGGGCACGCAGAACAGCAAAAGCAGTGCCGATATTGCAAGTCGCCGAAGGCAGGGATGCGGGCGAGAGGAATCTTGCCCGCAGATTGCGTGTCCCGCAGTTGCCGCTGCACAAAAGACTGCGTACCTCCCAGCACGGCGAGCACTTGGCGATCTGGCGGCAAGGTTCGGCGGTTCTTCGCCTGCTTTCCAAATTCGGGTCTGACGCGCTCCGATGGGCAGACGATGGAATAAGGCTTTAAGGCTTCAAAGGCTCCGTTGCTTGGCTGTAAGCACTGTCCCTGGCGAGAGCAGCTGGGCACAGGCTGGGACGCCTGCAAACAGGCGGGGCGTGTGCACCAGGCCTGGAGGCGGCGATGGATGGAGACCCGAGCAAACCAACAGTCCTCGGGCGGATTTCAATTTCACAGAGATTTGAACTGGAAAGTAGTTGCATGACTCACGACGCTGTCTGAAGAAGTAGACAGACCTGCAGCTTGAATTCAGCTTTTGGGCTCCCAGGTTGTGGTAGGAGCACGAGCTCAAAACTTTTGAGCCCCATGCGAGGCCGTGCCAATGGACGGGGTGTAGCGATTCTATTCACTGTGTTGCTCATGGGCAAGATAAACATATCGCAGCAGCAGCTGCCGCAGTTGTCGGACTAGACTAGGCTAGGACTGCGTTGAGTAGCCGGCTCGTGAACGTGATGATGCTGGCGATGTTACTGTTGGCAACGATGTGGCGGTTTCGGGTGATGATGAATGAAGTACAACATAATATGTTATTGTCAATGGATGAGGATGGCGCTGTGTGATGACGATCATGAGGATTATGATGATCATGACAACGTCCGAAGATCTTACGTATGGTAGTGGTGCCGTGGTCCTAGTAAGGAGGACTGGCCATAACCGTGATGAAGGTAGTCATAAGAGAGCCAACGATGAAGACAATGATCATGATGGTAGGATACTGAAGACTGACATTCATGCATGTTGGTGCAACCCAACCTGTTGCTGTTTGTGTGGACGTTCTACTCAATTACTGGTGGGAGACGAGGGCATCTCTCAATCTATCATACAGTGGCACGTACAGCCGGTGCTTCACTTATGTTGAAGGAGCTGAATGCACAGTCAGGGATGCCTTTCTTACTGGTAGCGCGCTTGCAACGTCAAGCCGTATGTATCGTTGTTCTTAGAACCACACGTAGATACGTAGGCTGCTAAACAAGGGTTTTCATAAAAAGTGAGCCTTTGTGTGCGAGCTCCATCAAAGAAGTCCGATGTGAGGCGCGCCAGCCGGGGCCATGCCTGTACCACATAGTTCTTCGAAGGCACCTTCTTAAGGCGGGTGGGCTCTGCATTGGCTCGACATGGCCAAGTGCTGACGTGGCACGCGATGTGTTTCACTCTGCAAGGATTGGGCCAACCATAGTTTCATGCTGTTCAGGATGGACCCTCCTGCTGTCTTTTACATTGGTGATACCGAGTTGATTCCAGATGCTTGGATGTTCACGGTTTCAACATCCTAAACATCTATAGGTTCGTTAGTTACAAGCAGCTTTCTTTACAAGCCACGTCGCATTTGTGTACTCGGAGAGATCAAGATCCGCTTAATTTCGCCGCTACCATCCAAGGACATGCCCACGGACGACTTCGTCAAGCATTTTGGCGTTTGCCAGCAAATCATGCAGCGACGAATGAGCCTTCGTGGTGACCTGCCTCACTCCGTGGTGGATGTCCTTTCGGAGCCGAGTTTGGACTGGTTGATCGAGGCATCACTGCCCTTGCCAGATGCAAGCTGGCAGTCTGCAGGCATCTTGCAACTGTCAGGAAGTCTGGCAGCTGCAATGGATTTTCCACGTTATCGGTGCCTTATTCCTCTGAAGCGAGGGAAACCTGCATCGGATATAAGTACCCATTTCCAGGGTCAGGCACCGTCGCACAAGACCGCTGCGCCTGCGACATGCAGGTCCAAAGCTTCAAGCAGAAGCTGGCCCAGCTTAGCTTTGCGGCTTTGCTGCCGTCCATGCCAGGCAGCCAGGCAGGAGTTGCCGCTCGGCTGCACCCCCTGAGTCCCTAAGCCTTAAGGCTGTGACGGACTTGGCTCTGGTCGCAAGAGCCCTTGCAAAGTCGCCAGAAATGCGGCTCGATTCGCGCTGCCTCTCTCAGCCATGGAAGCACTCCGCTCCGCGGAAGCCAAGTTCTGGGCTGAAGTCGAAAAGCTTTCCTTGACACCCTGCTGTGTGCCGCAGACTCGTCTTAAAGGTGCTTTCACAGCTGCGGCACATGAGCTGCCTAGAGGTGCCAGGTGCGCTTGACGACGTGCATCGCAGATATCACCGCGTTGCCGGCATTGTTTTCACAGTTTCTCGTAGCCATGGCCGTTGCAGCAATGGCTTCTGACACTTCAAGGGCTTCGCACAACTTTGAAAGATGTGCCTGCGCGGTTGTGTGCTTGCCAAGCTATGGCAGGCGAGGGCCGCCGTGTAAGCTTTGTAGTGCTGTGCAGGTTGCTCCTTTCGAAAAGCTGCCCTCTCAGGTAGTGCGTTGCCCACTTTGATATCTGTCTCGCTGGATCGTCCATCGGCACACGTCGTCGACAGGCTCTCCATCGGTTTGCATTGTCCTATCGGCTCGGTCAGATGCAGCGTTCAGTTGTGAGCGTGCTAGGGGTGTTTGTCTACACACTCTCTCAATCCAGGTCAGTCATGCAGATTCCTGTCGGCTGTGCAGGAAAACCTTGTGCTAGCTGTTCTGTGTTTAGCTCGTGCATCCCCTCGTGCATTGCGCAAGTACGGTTACATCCAATCAGACCGTTTGCCAAGCTGGCAGCATTTCCCTGTGCCCGTCCATGACGCATGCAAGGTTTCAAGCCGGAGCTGTGCAGTGTCCTCGATGCAAAGCAGCACAATGCCTGGTTGCGTGCAGATGTGGAACGGCAGTCGCTCAAGCATGGGCATGAGCACCTCCAGCTTCAGGGCATGTCATGTTTGTGATCATGCGTTGTCGGCATTCACGGTGCAGCCAGTTCATGCTAACGTCCCTGCACTTGCACATCTGCGGTATGCCGCGCCACGTGTTATGCGCAGGTCCAGCTAAAGCTTTGTGGCGCGCCACAGATCCGCCACTTCTCATTCATCCCGTACCTGCCCAGGAGAGGCACGTTTCCTTTTGTAGACCGGCCTGTTGGCGGTCAGAGCTTGGCTATGGGACGAGCATGTGAATCCGGCGCAACTGCGCCAGGTCTCTGTATGTTTGATGTCGCAAGATTTTTGAATCCTTCAGCTCATGCACCGCTGCAGGTTCCAACTGTTTCAGGGCAAGCTTGCCTCCATGTGTGGCCGTACATGTGTTGCTCTGCTCCAGAATCGGTGTTCATGGGCAGTCCTCCGTTCAAAGCGGTGCGATGGTGTTCCGGTGCGCCACCGCGCCTAAGAGACCATGCGGTCTCGATGTGGTTTAGGGAAGCTCCAAAGCCCATTGCTGCAGACTCAGAGATATGAGCAAGTGGAGCAGCTCGTGGATACAGCAAGTCAGCCTTAGCTTGACTGTGGAGACAGTTCCTTTTCCGAGAGCAGAGACTTCTGGTTTCCGTCATGTGTTGTACGCCAGACTCTTTTTGCAACAACCGTGCTTTTGCTTGTGCAACCAGGCCATGAAAAGTTTTGTCTGCAATGTTGCCGCAGCACCTAGTCAGCCGAAATGCTGTCTTGGTGACCCGTTGCTTGCTAGCCATCGCACTTATGACAATGCCCTGAAGCGAGGTGGCCGGTCAGCTCGCCTGCTTAGTGGGAGCGGTAGGTTGCATTCTCCGAGTGTGTCTTTGTGCGATCAAGGTCTGGCGGCCTTTGCCGCTGGACATCCAATTCCCACTTTTGTGCCTGCCCTGGCATGGCGGACCATCTGATGCCTACCGCCTTTCCAGTTGTTGACAATCCACAACACAAGCCGTGGGTGGTGATTTGCAGCTGCACCTTGATCAGCTCGCTGCTCCCTAAGAAGCAAGTAGTTCGTCCTTAAGATCGATAGCAGAGGTGTAAGCAATGTGCCGCGGTGCGACGCAACACAGGGCTTGGCTATGGGACGAGCATGTGAATCCGGCGCAACTGCGCCAGGTCTCTGTATGTTTGATGTCGCAAGATTGTTGAATCCTTCAGCTCATGCACCGCTGCATGTTCCAACTGTTTCAGGGCAAGCTTGCCTCCATGTGTGGCCGTACATGTGTTGCTCTGCTCCAGAATCGGTGTTCATGGGCAGTCCTCCGTTCAAAGCGGTGCGATGGTGTTCCGGCGCGCCACCGCGCCTAAGAGACCATGCGGTCTCGATGTGGTTTAGGGAAGCTCCAAAGCCCATTGCTGCAGACTCAGAGATATGAGCAAGTGGAGCAGCTCGTGGATACAGCAAGTCAGCCTTAGCTTGACTGTGGAGACAGTTCCTTTCCCGAGAGCAGAGACTTCTGGTTTCCGTCATGTGTTGTACGCCAGGCTCTTTTTGCAACAGCCGTGCTTCTGCTTGTGCAACCAGGCCATGAAAAGTTTTGTCTGCAATGTTGCAGCAGCACCTAGTCAGCCGAAATGCTGTCTTGGTGACCCGTTGCTTGCTAGCCATCGCACTTATGACAATGCCCTGAAGCGAGGTGGCCGGTCAGCTCACCTGCTTAGTGGGAGCGGTAGGTTGCATTCTCCGAGCGTGTCTTTGTGCGATCAAGGTCTGGCGGCCTTTGCCGCTGGACATCCAATTCCCACTAGTGTGCCTGCCCTGGCATGGCGGACCATCTGATGCCTGCCGCCTTTCCAGTTGTTGACAATCCACAACACAAGCCGTGGGTGGTGATTTGCAGCTGCGCTTTGATCAGCGCGCTCCTGCCCAAGAGGCAATTAGTACATCCTTGAGATCGACAGCAGAGGTGTAAGCACTGTGCAGTGGTGCGACGCAACGCAGAGCTTGGCTATGGGACGAGCATGTGAATCCGGCACAACTGCGCCAGGTTTCTGTATGTTTGATGTCGCAAGATTTTTGAATCCTTCAGCTCATGCACCGCTGCAGGTTCCAACTGTTTCAGGGCAAGCTTGCCTCCATGTGTGGCCGTACATGTGTTGCTCTGCTCCAGAATCGGTGTTCATGGGCAGTCCTCCGTTCAAAGCGGTGCGATGGTGTTCCGGTGCGCCGCCACGCCTGAAGGATCACACCGTGTGCATGTGGTGGACCGAATCTCGAGTAGCAGACGAACAGATTTGACTTGGCAGGGAGGGCTTGACATGCAGGGGATACCACAGTGCGAGCTGCTTGATGCTGAAAACAGACTTTTACTCCTGTCTCCAAGACGCCGAGCAGAGAGATGCTGTCACCCCGCTTGACCAGTCGGGCTTTTAAGCTTGCTGTGTCTATGCAACGACGTCCGATGTGGCTTTGGATCAGGCTTGCTCGAGAAGCGTCTCCGAAATTGCCAGCTTTGGCAGAGGGGGCTTGCCGAGTTGAGACCGATTATCCTACCAGTGTACACAGCTTGACAATGTCCCATACAGACCTTGCCATCATGACCTCCTTAGGCTGCAGGCACGGAAGGCTTGAGTTCCCATGAGGCTGAATGTGATGAGCATCCGTTTTTTTGCTGTACTGCGCTCGGCGAGCGCCTAGGCATTTGATGCGTGGCAAGTTCAAGCCCACGCTACATGCAACAGCCGGGCAACTTGGCACACCAGTTGTCAGCCGACATAGCAACCAAAGTGGAGTCCAATTGTCTCGATTGCCAGCCACTTGCCAGTTGCCAATGATTCTAAGTAGATGTCGCGAGTCGTGGGAGCTTACACAGCAATCTCTTCAACGAATTTCCCGCGCAAGAGTGCATCACTACGAGGGTGAGTACATCAAGTGCTCAGGCGACACTTCCTGCAGTAATGATACAAGTTTTTTGCTGGAGTCCAGCCGCGGCCATGTCTGTGCGCTGGCAGAATCATCGACTTGGTCGATTGCTTAGAGGTCCCTGGTGTACCACCGGTAATTTCCCAGGGCGCCGACGGCACCGAGACGCAATGCTGTCTTATCCCCGAGCGAGAAAGGCGATTCCTAGGGCGCCAAGCCCCAAGCTGCAGCGGCTGCAGCGTGATGTCTGTAGACATCCCATTTCAGCGTTTCCGGCTCATGGCGACACCCCGCATGCCCGACCCAATCCAAAGGTATACTCTCGATCTGTGAACGATCTGGAGCTGCCATGTGCGTTCAGAGAGGAGGTGTTCAGTCCTTGCGACCTTCGGTTCCTCACAAGCCTGCAACTATCCCCTGCAAGAAGCCGAAGGAGGCCTACGTCTACGTTTCATCTTCAACCTTTGAAGGCATCTGAAGGAGTGCAAGGAACGCTTGATTCTTGATGGACAGTTCCTGACCAGCAAATTGGTTCTTGCATGGACTTGCGTGCCTGCACACACGCTAGGTTGCAGCGTGCCTTAACCTCGCAGGCTCCTCAGTGAGATAGGGAAGTTCCTGGGCATGCGCAGGCTCTGGTTGCAGCTGGTGAGCGATTTCGGAGTTTCATCTTATGCTCCCTGGAAAGCCCGCAAAAGAGGAAGAGGTCACGCTTGCTCTCAAGAGCCTTTACTCGGCTCACAGCTCCCGCCGGCTCCCGCCTTCGTGGTTTTGCATCCGAAAGGGGGGTCCGGGTCGGAGTCTGCGGAGTGCCTCCTCCACCCTGGGTTTCATGGCACGGAGCCATCGCGGCTATCGGATGCGGCGCTTTTCGGAGCTCAAGCGAAGCTGGACAGAGTGGGCCTGCAGATGGGTAGCTCAGTCCAAGGAGTCGTATGTGAGACGGACGGTCAGAAGAGACTCGTATTGAAGATCGCCAGAAAGGCATGTTGTTGGTTTTGTCGTTTCGTCTGGGTGAAGCAGGGATGACAGTGTCGCTGAGTGATGTATTGGTGTCCCCTTTGCGGCAGTCACAGGTGGCGTTGGCATTGGTGCCGTCGCACTGAGACCCCTCCGAGTGGCCGAGCCGTTGAAGCTCTCAACGCTTGCAAGATTTGGCAGCTCCGAAGACAAATTCACCGCCAAACCACATCTCCGGACACGTGGGCTT